TAGCATCCATCAAGGCTGAAACAAGTTAAGCTAATGATGCATGTTGCTGATTGTTAGTGCCCACAGGAGGGAGGGGTTGGGTGCTAATTGGTCATGTCCATGTGTTTTTTCTTTGGACAGCTAAAAAGTGACATCTTAGGATGCTACTCAGCTAAAAAGAAATCTATCACCGGATTTGATTGGTTTATTCAATAAGGGGTTCCAAGCAAAACTCCAAAGCCAGCCACAAAAATGGAGGCTTTGTGATGAGATGAAGATACCCGAGGTCCTTCTCGGCAAAGGCAAATCCCCCATCCCCATTTTCCATGATGGAGACAGCAAACAAAGGTTCCCTTGTCGACATTGTTTTGAAATCCAGTACAAGGATATTTCTGCTTATACTTTTCAATTTTACCTTGTTAAGGAAAGGGTCATGCAAAAAAAAAAAAGACAGAAGAAAGAAATTGAGACTATTTCATATGGTTAGTGTTATAGTAGTTGTGTTCTCTCAGCACCAAATTAGTGTTTTTTATTTATATACGACAAACACTAGTAGCTGTTCTTTCCCAGTTAAGGAAACTAAACTATGGAGTAGCAGTTAGGCTAGCATAGCAAAGCCTGAATCTGGGTCCTTTAGGTGGGGCTCAGAGGCCAGAGCAGGCAAAAATTTTAAAGGGTAAGGAGAGAAGTGACTGCCTGGGGCTGGAGGAATCTAAAATTTCATGGGACATGTGTATGATTGAGAGCACATGTGGGAGAACGTGAAGGATTCAGACTTCAGAAGCAGTTGGAATCTCAGTCTCTTTCTTTCTTTCTTTCTTTCTTCCTTTATTTATTTTCCTTCATGTAGTTCGTTTTCCACAAATTAGAATAGATAGAGTGGATGAGACCAGAATTCAGATAGATGGGGCTAGCTAGGAACATATTGCCAGGAGATGAGATGTTGTAATACAAAAGCGAGAGCTGCTGCCATGCTCTATTTGCACACAATTCCATGTACCCCATCCAACATGGGAGAACTCATTGAATACAGAGTTTGAGATTTGATTTCCCACCTTGGGTTTCCGAGCCCTCCCTCCCTTCCCCTAGTTGCTAACTCTTTCCTACTTCACGTACGAAGGGCTTTTCTTTCTTTTTTACATGGCGTGGTTAACGTTGATTTCAACATCGACAATTTCGGGATCATTGTTAAAAATTCTATTCCTTTGATTACTGAGATAACGAGGATGATGACTAACCGACCGACCGACCGACCAAACCATAAACGTTGTGATCTGTCTCTCTATGACTAATTGTTTTGTGAGTGAGTGTGTGTGTGTGTGTGTGTGTGTGTGTGAGAGAGAGAGAGAGAGAGAAAGCTTTTTCCTTTGACGGTCTTGAATGTGCTTTATTCGTTCTTGGTAAGCAGCCTTGGTTCTGCAAAAGCAAAACCCTCCCCCCCGCCCCCCCAAACCTCCTCTCAGATTCCTTTCTTTCAACATGACCAATTCCAGTTGGAATATATAATATATATTAGAAGTAGAATTGTGACTGATGTTTGTGGTTAGACGATCGAGGAGGTTCCTAAGAAACTAAGATATGATAGATGGAATTTAGTATTGGTTTTGTGCATTGGACCAACACCACCCATGATTTCTAATCATGAAAATTTTGGTTTTTTAAATTATTTTTTTGGGGTGATTTGCCACCTTTAATGTTCTTTTACTCAATTGTACATTAGCCCCATATTGCTGAATATTTTGTCCAGCTTTCTGCAAACATCAAGCCCAAATTTATCGGGCAATTGAAAAAACTTTCAATTAGGAAAATATTTAGAAAGGTAAGAGCACATCATGTTTGCATCAGGTCATTCATTTAATCATCTTTGGAAGTTCAAAGCAATCATTTCTGTTATAACCTTAGCATAGGTGAAAATTGATGTCTCTAATTCAAATTTAGGTGTGTGAAGTAGGGCATAGTAAAAGGAACCAAATGTGTACTGATTTAATTAATGAATAACAAAAGATCACACAAAAATAATTAACAAGGGGGAATAAAAAACCTTTTTCTTTTCAAAGAGTTGAAAATGAAAAAAGGGGTTTCTAGCTAGTAGCTAGTTGTTTCTTTATACACTGACTAAGGGCTAATTCAAAGTCTATTATTTATTTTCGTAAGTCAGGAATAAGTAACAAAAGATTCCCATGTTGACAATTGTTATTATTTACTATTGTGTTAACTTTATGACGGATAGATTGTCTCGTATTAGAGAGTTTTTGGTCATTTCCTAATATTTGATGTCCGTTGGGTTTTTTGTTAATTTCGTTTTTCTTTTCATATCCTTTCAAGAAAAAAGTATTGAGTTAACTTAAATCAACCTACCAAATGGTCTAAACCAAATCAATGTTATATATAAACATTTACGTGTGTGCTACTGTGCCTTATACCCTTAGCCTTAACAAAAGCTACTATAATTAGAATTTGGGATGAAGTTTTAACCAAAAAGATTAGTTAAAGCTTCTTTTCATTAAAGAAAGTGTTTATGAGAGTAATATTACTTCAAAAATAGATTATTTACATGGTTCATACCTCAACCCATATACTTACAAATTATAACATACTTTTTTTGAAAAATTTAATTGTGTGAATAAAGAATTATAGTACACATAATTTATATTTATATCTATGCATTAATAAAAATAGAAAACTTTTAAAGATGTACTCCATTTTGTAATATCTAAGGAGAGAATCAAATCAATTTAAGATATTTTAGGACCCCTTGGGGGCTTTAAGCTCACAGGTTTAGCCGCGGACTAAGGAAAGTCAAGTCGCCCATGTGTAATGTGTTTCGACCAAAGCACTGAAGAGAGAGTGTGATGTGTCAGTGACATGAGCGAATGAGAAGAAAGAGCGTGACTTAGCATGAGGATTTCTGCAGAGTTAATAGAGCCAAAACAAAAGAAAAAAGAAAAAAGAAAGGAAACTGCAGCCATGAAGCGCGTGCATTGTAAGATCCAATCACGGAGACCGAGACTCTAGCGATCAGGTCCACATGCTGACAAACCAGGACTTTGTCTCGTAGTGAGCCGTGACGAAAACACGCGCTCACGCGCGTCAAAGTTTGGAAATGGGTCAGACATTCCATTCGCTTGTCCGAAAGCCAGCAGTAGCCTTACTAAATCTCTGTCTTTGACCCTGTTGCCTGGGCAGTCTCTTTTACGTTATTCTTCTTCTTCTACTCCTCCCTCTATGTCTGAATAGTTAATTATTTATTTATTTATTTAATTAGTTAATCGAATTTAGGAACACTATGATGATTTTTGGTTATAGATTTGAGTGGGATTTTGGAGTCTTTTGAGACTCTTGTCCATTAATTAGTTAATTATTATTTTTCTAATAAATTATATCTAAATCTAATATACCCATGATTTCACTTCATTTCACCCTCTCTTTCTCACATCTCAACAAAAGCAAGTACGTTCTCAAATTATTACAAAATCATTCCCTTTTCACAATTGGCAGTAGTCTCATGTCTCACCTAATTATGATCAGAGAGACCTTCTGTCATTACCAAAATAGATTTATGCAGAATTTTCTCTTTCCTCTCTGTCTCATGCAATAATGGCAGCAATCACATAGTATGAACATGCATCGTGAAACAAGTCGTTGCTTTGAAAATTGGGAATTGGGAATTGCATTAAGAATCTAGGTATACAAGTCTCTTGAAATTTAGGGAGAAAGAAATGGGATTCAAAACAGCAGTCTCTAAGCAACTAGGCAAACCCCCTCAAGGGGCAGGCTCTCTTGCATATATATATATATATATATATATATATTTTGCTTAAAGAAGCTTAAACACTTTTGTTTGTCTCTGTGTGTGTCTCTCTTGGTTTATGTGGGGGGTGGAACCAATATTTTCCTTTTAAAGGAACAAGTGAAGTCAGCAACGGCTGCAGAAAATGGAAAAATGCACTCCTTTTTGGGAAATATGTTTTGAGAGTATCATCATCAACTATCAACTGTCCAATTATTTGAAGCAATATGACAAGCCTGAGCTTTTTCTCCAACTCCCCGAATCTTTGCAGACTTAAACGAGAAGGAAAGAGTAAAAAAGGAAGAAAGAAAGAAAGAAAAACCTGAAAACTGATCACTATGATGTCGACCATTTATACACTATAAAATATAGATGGCTGTGCAACTTCATCACATTTCTGGCATTACAACTAGAATGTAGCATCAAACACATTGCAAATATGCCAAAAATTTCTTGATCATCATCTCCTTGCTTTGGAAAATGAAATCCATATAGGTAAAATTAATCATGGCTGAACAAGGTAAACACTAATTTGTTCATAGCTACTAAGCTCAACCAGAAATCTAGAAAGTAGAAACAGCTATATTGATCTTTGAGTAATAGAGAAGCATTGCTTTCACTCATTTGCTTATAAAGAGATTCTGCTTTTGGGATAACGATATTAACTTGTAGGGTGCTTGTTACTGGAAATGAACTATCAGAGAAGAATGTTTATTGTCTCTGATGAAATAAGTACTAAAGAGTAATGGAAAAATGTTCTGATAAAGTAACAGCTAAAGAGCAAGCTAATTAATCATTTGAAATGCTGTCCAAATCAACTGAAAGAGCTTTGAATTCTAAATTCTGGGAATGCCGTCCCATGGTCTGTTGTTCAAGAATTCATTTGTGAAGAGGACGAAATGACACTTTGCATATTGGTAGACTTATGACTTTAACTAAAGTTATAACTTTAATAAGATTTCTTAAAGCTTTGCACCCTTTAAACTTGAGAATAAAATGAAAGTTTAAAAGGTAGAAACAATCAAAAGAAAGAAAGAAAGAAGGGTTGTAAACATGTAAAAAGGAGGTTATGAACTCCTACCAAATGAATCTCAGCATAATTCTATGACCTCCAGATTTTGAATAAATTGTTCAATGCAAATGATTAATAATTCAATAATGTAAAGTAACTGGGTAATGTAACGTTAATTTGCTGCCCTTGTAGAAGATCATCTAGAGACGTTAGATTGTCATATGATAGGACTTAAAACAGATATATTTTGCTTAGTGCATATCATCAGTATATGCCCGATACAAGAAGCTTCAGAAACTGATACACTCACCATCGAAAAACATGCTCATACATTGAAATCTACCAATTCTAGTAAAAGAAGAAGAAAGAAAAAAGCCTACCAATTCTAGGGTTTTAGTTGATTTTTGAGGAGCTAAGTCCTCGATGATCCATCTTTGGATAAGGTGTCTGCAGGTTTGATCACTGATGCCATATGGAGTTGGAAAGTGAGTAACTTTGTCTTCATCATAGTTAATTTTTCTTTAATTGAAGCTACACTAACAAAAAAACCGAAGCTTCAGCACGAGGCTCTCGAAAAGAGAGAGAGATAGAGAGAAACCAAATTTATAAAGGATTGCTAGTGGATGAAGAGCTGAAGCTGGAAAGATCTGTCCATGCAGTTCCACTCCAGTACTGATCATTTCCTGGAACCCCCAAAAATTGCCTTGACAAATTCAGCTCCTGCTGATTATTGTCTTCCATTTTCACTGAAGCCAACTGGGTTGCCGATGAGCTTGATATCTTAGGCCGAACCTGATGACCAGCTCCACCTCCATAACCCGATGGCTCGACACCCCCGCTTTCAAATTGATACAACCCAGAAGAAGATTCCAAGCCACCTAGGAAGGGAAATTGCGGCGCTTGTTGCTGTAGCCGCCATTGATCCAAACCACTCATAGTCAAAAAAGAAGTACCAGGAGCAGCTGCAGCACCACCTCCCCCACCAGCTCCTCCACTTGCTAAAGCACTTCCTATTTGAAAAGTTAAGTCACTTGCTCCTCCAAGTGGAGCTGAAATTGTCCCATAATTCAACCCAATATCGCTGCCACCAAATTCGGAAAGATGATGCAAAGGAGCCATGAACCTCAGGGGAGGAAGCTGAGGTCCAAGGCCTAAAATATCAGCAGTGCTTCCACTATTTGAAGAAATTATACTCGAGGAACCGGAAGCTGTCTGTCGGTCGCCGCTGACAGGAGATTTAGAGCTACTTCCGGCTTTGCTTCTTTTGTTCCTACGGCATCCACCTCCAACCGGAACATTTCTTAGGGCACCTCCTCTAGTCCAGTACCTTCTACAAGTTTTGCAAAAGTGACGAGGCTGTGTGAGACTGTAGTTGTTGAAGTAGCAAAACTTTGTGTTAGTTGATTCACATCTTGGGCATTTTAATGCTGCTTCTGGCATCGGTATGTTGGCCATACGAGCTCGATCGGCCATCGAACCCGGCCGGATCGAGCCGGCCCCACCTCCTCCATGAGGCTGTGGAGGTGGTGGTGGTGGTGGGGGAGGGGGAAGCTGATGGGCGCTTGCACCGCTACTCGCACCAGCTTGATGATTCGGATGCTGTAAAAACAGAAGAAAAAGAAGCAATCAAATATCTGGTATATTCAACACGATAAAACAAAAGTAATAGGAATATTTATCTTTTGAATTTTTTGCTTTTTTGGCAAAGAAACCTTCGAAACAAATCCAAAGAAAAACACCCCTTACTTGTTGCCAGTTGGCTGGATCAAGATAAGCTGGGATGGAGGTAAAAACCATGGTTTCCTTGCTTCTTTCTTTTCCTTTTTGTAAAGGTTTGTTGCGTTTTTGTGAGCGAATAGTGGAGAATCACATCAAACAAGAGAGTGTTACAGAAAGAGAAAGGGAGAGAGAGGGAAAAGAGAAAGAGAAAGAAAGGAGGGAGGAAGATGTGCAATGAAAGAGAGAAGAAAAAAACTTAAAAGGAAGGCCATTTATATATACTATATTATATATCTATTTATATATATATATAATTAATTAAGTTCTTGTTCCTTCTCACTCGACCTCTTTTTGTTTTATTACTTTTTAGGGTTTAGAGAAGGCGATGTTTCTTAACCTATAAGCTTCTTTTTCTTTATGTTTTTATTTATACTGAGGAGAGTAAGTACAGTGTGGTGATACTAAGTGATCAGAAACATAAGAGTAGTGGTTCTCCTCCTGCATGCAAAAAAGGTTGGTGTTATTTAGAAATGTATGGAATGAGAGAGAGAGACAGAGAGTGCAAACCAGCTTACATGAATTAATTAAAAATTAATTAACTAACAAGTTTTAATTATGATTTATGGTGAGATTAAGAGTTTAATTACTTTAGAATTAAGCAGTTTTTTTTTAATTATTAAATTAAAAGAAGAAGAAGAGAAAGTTGCTTCTTGGGGGTGCTTTGGTGGTGTGCAACAATCGAAGTGTCCCGACCGAGTGAACCTTTTGCCCGGTCTGGCCTGTTTCCCTTCCCCACTCGTTTCCTTTATTTTTGCATGGGAATATATAAATTTCAGTGCTATTTTTTAACGCTCCTTTTGAGGAGCGTGCCTTTTACGCTCTCCAATGCGGCACAAGTCATTGCCGTTTTGGCCCTGCTGTATGAGCTTCAGGAAAGGAAGTTTCAAACTCTAATCACTAATCAGGTTCTTAATACCCTAATCAAGTTCTTAAACCATGTTTTCTAAGGGATAAATTTATATTCTTAACTCACTTAATAGGTGCGTCTTTGGGATTAAAAATCTAGGTCCACGACATTGAGACTAAACCATCCATTGCGGTCCAAAACTCATATTCTTAAACGGGATTAATTTAAGATCAAATCAGCTTCCATTAGAGATAAAATGGAAAAGATAAAGGAATATTTGTTAAATTTGTACAACATTAGCAGTTAAAATAACTTGCATAATCTTAAAAAAAATTTTACTACCATTATCCTGAGTCTTCAGCATTTCCTCCACTAGATCCTCACAAAAATCCCAAATCTCAAATACAGGTAGCCCAGCCTCCCACTCAGCCCAATATTGGAAAAACATATTGAGAGAAGATCTCATAAGAGATGCAAAATAATCACTTACATTTTTTAATAGAATAACACTGTACATGTACCATGGATTTGGTTTTACATGTGTTTGTTAGGGGCTATAGTGATTCTATTCATCTTTCGGGTATACTGTCATCTGGGGGTCTCTGTTTCAGAATTCCAGTAAAATGGCTTGCTGACTCTAGTTGCCTTGCAAGAGCTTGAAGATGAATGAATTGAAGAACTTTGTGAAGTATTTCTACTTTCTGGTCGTTGGTAGTAGCGCATTAACTTCAGAACATAAGCGTCATCATGCAAGGAGAACGGTGTACTGCCCATAAGATAAAAATAATGAGAACAAAAGCTGAGACTGCTGAGGTAAAAATCAAAATTAGAAAGAAAAAAAAAAGTGTAATGTATTTTCCATGGTAAAATGAGGTATACTTGCCTGTTGAAGTCAAGGTGTACCAGTTGCATGTCCTCAGAAATCTCAATCTCAACAGTAGCATGTGGGCTAGTCTGTAGACAGGAGAAAGGAGAGAGCAAATGAGTACTGCTGAAATTAATAACAAACCTGAAAATAAATTGTCACACACACACACAGATTAAAGCAGAAAAAAAGGGAAGGGAACAAAGAACATTGTAATTTTTAACTAGTTAAGAAAGATAGAAACATGCATACTTGAACCAGTATAAATGGCAATGTAAATCCTTCTTTAGGAGCACTACTTTTCTTGAGCAACTGCTGGTTTCGTTCAATTATATTCTGGAGACCTGCAATCTTTTTTATTTTTCCACAGACACTTTAGGCATAGCATTAAACTGATAAAACCACTTCATTAGCAGAAAAATAACTTCAGACAGTTGTCACCCAAGTTTCTCTAGGAGGTAAAGATGTCTATGATGAAAATTGAAACAGATCTCCTGCTCAAGGAATTCAGAACATTTCCTAAATGGTCACCATGGCTTTTGAAGAACACAAAATAAAAAAGAGAAAGAAAAAAAAGGATTTATGCACTTAAGCTGTCAATGGCTCATGAGTATAGATCTCCTATTTCTCTCCAGATCTATAGCACAAAGGTTTCTACTAATGCCAGTGTGTTGTCTAAAAAGTATCAAAGGAAACTTACTTGTTCTTCTACATCTTTCAAATAGGCTGCTTTTTTTGCAATCCTTGCCATTAGCTGAACATGCAGTGCCTTCAAGTATAAAAGACAAAGTCACAGTCATGCAGTTTATAGAACAATCTTTCCTCTTGTAAATTCATGTGTTAATAGTGATGTGTGAGCTCTATCAAATAATGTTGTTGCATAAAATAATTAATGCTCCGAAGGTTATCAACCTTAAGTTCTTCCAAACTCTTTGCTTGTGTAGTAGTAGAAAGTCCCTTCCACCTGATTTCCTTCTTCTCCCTTGTAATGATATCCAATGCCATAAGGACATTTAATGCATCATAAACCCGCCGTCGAACATTCTTCTCATGGAACTGAATACCATAAAATGTTCAATTCTATTGCAATACATTTAAGTGGCAAGCATCCCATAATTAAAGAATAAGTACTTAAAATTCATGGGGAAATTAAACCTCATCCAAAGATCTTGCTGTATTAGTCTGAGCAGTGGCAAACTCTTCTATAATTTCATCTGCGACCTGAGAATCATAAACCACTCAACTTAACTAGTAAAATTAAGGGTTGCTTTAGACAAGATATGGCAAGAAATACTGTAATCAAGATGGAAGAATATCTTATCTCAGGAAAGGACTGAAACCTTATATATTTTATATTGACCACAGTGATTTAAAATGACAGATTTGGTAACACAGCACATTACACAACTCTAGAGCATCATAACTATTTCTCATGTGATATATTAATTAAAAGATGTGATTCCAAATTTTAAGACTCCAACAGCAACCATATTTTCATGTTTAGAAAAAGCAATAGTAACCAAGTTTTCTCAGGCTCTCAGAATATACTATTCTGAACATTCATAACTATAGCACATTATATAGCTCCCCAGAACTCAATAAAATTCCTATTTGAGTCACCATATCATTCACATTCACATGATGAACATCAACAGTAACTGAAGCGTCACATATCTAGAAGAGAAAAACAATTGCTAAAGTCAAATTTTAAAGAATTCTGCCTCATGACTTCCTTCTGAGGTCTTACAAACTCATTCACCTAAACAAATCTGAATGAGAAAGCATACCTCAGCATATGTAGTGCTCCCCTTACTCTCCAACTTCTTACACACTGAGAAAATGATTCAAGTCCATAAAGATGAACATGGAAGCCAAAAATAGCCATCCATGGTGCCAGAAAAAATCAATAATTTAAGTACATCAACCTCACTAGATCTTTACCATACCTAGCTTTCTTATATTTCTCAAGGAATGTGTCAAGAATTTGAGATATCATAAAAAATACCAAAGAAAATAGAGTGCATGTAATCTAATATATAAGAAAAAGAATTACTAACCCATAACACTGAACTGGCGCAGCCCCCCACCAGGCATTCTTGATACCTTTTTCCTCATTGTTCTGGTTATTTGGAAGAAAAAAAATGTAAAAGAAACAAAAAAGGAACAAGAGTATCACAAATTGAGATTTGAGAAGAAGGGAAAGAAACTTAAGAAATAACAAGCCTGAAGTACCAACTTCTTGCAGGCTAACAGAACCAGTACTCACTGGCTCAAGTTCTTAAGTGGAGCTACTAAAGCAGATATACAACATCTGATTAAAGAAAAGGTGCAGAACAAAGAAAAACAGAATTTATATGGAAACTGTAATCACCCATCAACAACATCAGCACTCGCATTCTTCTGCTTGACTGCTGACTGATTCATTCCACAAGCACTCCCAGAAGTTGAAGCATTTGATGGGGTTGCAACCGGACTTTGCTCACAAGAAGGACTATCTTCTAAATATGGGTTGTCCATGATATTCAGTCACTAACTTCCTGACCAGAAAACAAAGCAATTAACCCTTTTTTAGCCGCATTACCAAGAGACCATACAAACTCTAAATAAAGCTAACCCGAAATTCATCAGACAAGATTCCAACCAAAGCAAATGCAAGTCAATCTAAGCAAGAATTGACTAAAAAAATTGAAATTGAATCAAAATTGTAATAATTCAAGCAATGCTGCTACTTTTACTTAGCATCTGTTGATTATGAACTTTGCATAAATTTTTTAGATCCTCTCATTGGTTGATTTACAATGACTAAGATTAACTCCTATTCAGAACTTTGAAATTAAAATTGGCCATTCTTGACATCGCGTCAACCAAAAATAACCCTAAAATTGCAGATCAAAACGCAATACTAAAATATAAAGAAAAAAATAGTGAAAGAAAAAGGTCATAACGAGGTTTGATCACAAATTATTAATAAAATTAACATTGATAAACAAAGGAAAAAAAAGGGGACGAACCTGAGGATTAGTCAGTGAATTAAGATTAAAAGCAGAGAAAAAAACCCTAAAGAATAGCTTATGATATAGAGCTTTTAAACGAAACAGAAACGAATTGTGTTCCCGCTAAATGTTTATGTTTCCATGAATAGATCCGTCGTCAAGAGTTAAGGAACTATCAAATTACAGAATTACCCCTTCAATTTTGATTTGAAATTACACATTAGTCCATCGGGAACCACTTGTCACCAATTGGTTGAGTTGTTCATCTGGCCTTTCAATCCATTGACGGGTCCAACAGCATTTAGTCAACGTCCTTGTTTCTTTTTTGCGCTTTATTATTTATAGTTTATGATTTCAATTTCAAGATGGAGAGGCTCTCCCTGTCGGCGGCAACTTAGATCACAATGTTGAGCAATTTGGAAGATGAATCTTCCTTCTTTCAGGGTATTGCTACATTATTTCAAGGGACAAGGATGTGGGAAAAGAGGAGGAAGGAGACAGGCATTCGTGTCTGTGGGCAGTACCAAGCAAGAATCATTTTGGCATGCTTTTTAGATTGAATTCAGATTGAGAGCATATAGACAGCAGCCTGTCGGCTCTGTTATCCTGTTTCATGACAGAATCAAATTCTCTCACTTTTCCAGGTCTTCCACTGCATTAGATCTTCAAAGAAACAATGACCACCTCGACACAAGAAGCTACCATGATAGGTGAAAAAAATTGGGGGCAAATATATTGAGTATTACAAAAAAAACTATTTACACTGTTTTGATCTAAAACTTTCAGAATCAAGAAGTTTCACCAACAGTTTCTCTAGCCTCTTTGAACTTACGGTAGGTTTAACAGCATTTGGATTACCGTAAACTACACAAGGATCTTTACCCGAATATGAACCCCCCACACACCAACCCCCAGGAGTAAGCTGACCATAGGACCTCCGCAAGAGCTCTTTGTCGATTTTGTTAAGGACTGGATCATCCTTGGCAAACTTGCGAGCGAAAGGGGCTCCACTTTGAACCATGTCATCAAAATGTTCCAATGTTAGAGTCATTGGGTGCTGCTTTGGAGGATTATCCCATCTGATATAATGCAAGTCGTGATTTACAGTCGTATTCTGGTAGTCTTTGTTATTGCAGATTACAGTGTGGAAGTAGCCTTCTGGAGATGACAGGAAATTTGTATAGTACATAAGGAGAGTTCGGGGGAGATTATCCCATCCCCAGACACAGAATTCAAGAAATGATTTTGTCAGCACCACCCATTCGGACCCTGGAATTATATATCAACATTTCAGGATATAAAGTATAATGAATCTATTGCGTATACGAATATGATTTGGTAAAATTTCTATATAAGCAAATATTTACAACATATGCTTATGTTCAAAGTTCATACAACCTACTCTGGCTACATAATTTCTAGATCAGATGATAATTTCAACGGCCAGCAATTTAGAATACAGGCAAATTTTCAACCCAACTGTAACAAAGAGCTAAAACAAACTCTTAAACAGTGAATTGCTTCCAACAGAAGCTTATCAAAATGCAAGGTTGCATAAGGATCCCTAAAGAAACGTTGAAAATGTTATTCTGTCGCACAAAAACACTACAGGACACAGTTTAACTTGTACTCAATGTTTCAGGAGATTATGTCTAACTAGCAGTTCTAAAAAACCCTTCCACCCTATTTCGCCTATTATATTAGATGGTCTTCCGAAACATGGATATCGATCTTCAACAGCAAAAGTAAAATCAGAGAATTGCAGATTTATCTCTAATAATCGTTCATTTGCCATATCTACTATTTCTCAAGTACCTAACATTGCATCCATTACTTGAATCTCCTACATCTACCTAAATCTAATGAAAACCATTTGCTGCTCCTGCAGGCTTCCATACACTCGGCTGATAAGTGACAACTTATCCAAGAATGTTCTAACATCAAGTTTTACTAGATAAACAGGTTGGAGTGGACAGATCAATGAAAAATAAAAATATATATATATAAAAGCATTACCCATGAATAACTTGAAAGAAGCAGGCAAGGATCTTTTCTCCTTAGCCCAAAATACACCAGATTTTTTTGAATGATATAAGCCTGGATCTATAATGATGGGCCTTGCTCTTTGGTATCTGCAAACACAAAATGAACTTACATTCAGAGAAAGCCACAAAGGTGAGTAATCACAGCAGAAAACACCGTATAGAAAGTGGAACAAATGTATTGGATCCTTACTCTTTCCAACCAATGCTACTTGTATGCTCCAGGAAGTTCAGATCCCTAGGCAAGTAAGAAAAGATGTGCACAATATCTGAAACAAAAATTAATACACAATTAGCATGATTACTGAAACATGCCTAGAAAAATTTTATATTTGTCAATCTTTTCAAGAGAATGAAAAAGTTATAGTTGCTGCAATTGCAGATGGCAATGATTGCTGATTCACAAAGGGGAAAAGCCAAGGTAAAGCACACTGAATAATGGAGACACCTCCTGAAAAAACAAGCTTGCACTTAATCACCCACATACTATAAGCGGTTGCTTTTGATAACCATTTCATGCAAAATCATCACCAAATATATGCCACGGCCAAGGAATTAGATATCAATATCATAAATCGGGCCCTCCAAATTACAGAGATATGATGGATATATCAGTGGATATAAAAATATAGACAAATATCGGTAAACAATGGAAAAAGAAAATAACACATATTTCAGTAAATGTTGGAAGTTTGAAACGAATTTCAGCATATGTTTATTCATTTCTTCATACATATTTTAGAATCATAATGTAGGAATTATAGCATACTAAATTGATACATAAGTATATTGGTAAATATTTATCCTGTATCAAGATTAATCTAGTATATAATAGAAATGGAAAATAAATTGAACAAATTTATAAAATATTGATTTTCAATAACACCAAATAATATAAAGTTGAAATGTTTAATAATACTTAATACCACATTGAATTCCGTGGAAGCTCACTTGCCTCACTTTCAATGGTAAGTTGAGTTATTACACAATATTGAGGCATGTCCTAACATTTTGATAACCAATTAAATAATTTTCCTCATGAGTAACATATTCATCATGGCTAACTTATATCAAAAATCTCAGTAGGGGAACCCACTTTAATCCACCTATGGTTTTGTTGGTTGAATCATACTCAAAAAGTTTGCTTTCCAAGTTGGTAGTATGACGGATTTTGATCATGTGCATATGATTGTCCATAGTCATATAACTCACAGAGACCATCATACCAGGCAATAATACTTGATCTCCTTCTCGTTCCATTTTATACATACCATATGAAATCGAAATTTTCTTTACTATAATATACAAATAAACATACAAAAAGAGTTAGATTATAATTTTCTCCTCCATCACTGCCAAACACTACCAAAATTCCAACAACAATATCTAAATCCTACTTATTATGAATTTTAAAAGGGAATACAAGGTTTGACACCAGTTTCAAATCATTCAATCCCTCTCATTGCCAACCCATTTATGCTCACACCACAACTACCCAAATTATCCATCCAATGGCTACAAAAGAATAAAAACTTTCACCCGTGGCCAAGTCTCAACAACTTAACATTTCAAGTCAGAGTATAATAAAAATGTTTCTTACCATCTTGAGACATGAGGGGATAATCTGATGCGCTAAGGTTCAGGAACCAATCCCACTCTTTCGCCTTTTTCAGAAAAATCGCCACCGCATGAAGCGTGCTAGCAATCATGGTAGGCCCCTTATAAGTCACCAAATCAGCCTTCCCGATCACCATCACGTTCCCAAACTCTTTAATCACGGCCTCCGATTTCACGTACTTAGCCAGCTCCAGCCGCTCGGAGTCTGAGGCTTCTAGATCAAGATGGAGAACATAGTAATTTCTCGGATGATATACCGACTGCAGCAATCGCTTGACACGTGGCCCATCCCCTTTCGTCCCCGATATCAAATAAGCAAATCTCGGTAACTTGGGTAAACGGCGGTAATCCCGTTCAGAGAAAGTAAATTTCGGTTGGTGAAAAGAGAAATCGGTTTCGGAAGAAGAGGATTTACCTTGGGTAAAAGTTAACGCGAGAAGAAACGTGAGTGAAATGATTGAGATTACAAGTACTGGCAAGAGCCATGATCGATCTGGAGAATAAGGAAACTGAGTTCTTTTCATTAATCTATTATTTGGGGAAAATTTTCGGACCAGAGAGCTAAAACTTAGGGGGTGAGATTCGATTTTTATTTGGAGAAGGTAAAGTGTCGGATTGGGTGTCGGCGTGACAGGCTTCTGTTGAAGAGGTTTGAAAAGAAGACGAGTTCGCTTACTTTGCACTGTACTTGGAGAGGGAAACAATATTGGTCGGAATTTTAATTTGAATCGTCGGTTACCATCTGGTGTTACTTGCTAATCTTGTTGTTGAATTATTTGTAACCGTCGATTGGTTTGATCTAACGCTTATAGTTTTTAAAGATCTTTGTCTCAATAAATGGTTAATATATTGAAATAATACAATACTCTTTTTCCCACTTTCCTTTTATATGTCTCAAAATAAAATTTTCTTTTTCATTTTATGTTTTATATTAAAAAAATTATTTTTCATGATTTTTTATTTTTTATTTTAAAAATCATTAAACATCTATATTATAAAAAATATTCAATCTTAATATAAACTATATCAAAAAATTAAAATTTTTATCTTAATTTTCATAAAAGTGAAAAAAAAAACTTGTGACGGATAAATTTATTAATATTAAAAAATAATTTTACATGCATGGACTATAACTGGTCAACTCATTAAAATAAATTTAAATTTTTTTTTATAAATGTTGGAATATTGGATAAGGTCTGAATTTTAAAATTTTATAATTCTTTTTCAATCCCTTTTAATTAAGATTTAGTAGACATATAGCCTTTCACTTGAAAGTGAAGAAGAAGAATTGCCATTATAAAAATCTTTCTTCTTAATTATTATTTTATTTTTCCTTCTGTCCTTTTCCTTACACGAAATCAAGTTGCTCAAAAGTGATTAGATTAATGTTTCTATAATTAAATAATTTGACAATGACAATTATTAGATGACTAAGGGTTTGGAATATTCTCTTTTGATTGGTTCATTTCATTTAATCAAAAACCAAATTTAATTATCTCCAACAGATTTTAAAGTGAAAATCAAGTAAGTGTGCCATTGGATCTTGAAGCACAAGCCACCTGTAACCTAATATCTAAGGAAACCCTTTTGTGACCAAACTACACGTTGAAGTAGATATCCCAAGCCAAAAAAAAAAAAAAATTCTTACATTTTCTGGGAAAATGGTACAACTACTTTACCTTCTATGATGAATGACAAAGGAAATTTCCTGCTGCGATTGAGAGATACTGGTATCACAGGGCCAAGATGTTAAGAGGCATGGGTCGTATACTTTGTGTGGGCTTGAGAAGTCTAGATAAAAAGCTTGTATTTTCAAGATTTATTTTGAAAATATAATAATCCGAATTCTATTATTTAATAAAATATCTCAATCGTATTAATATTTGATTAAATTTTAATTAATAATCCATTCAGACTTTTGAGACTCTACTCGTTAAATATTCTATTAAAATAAATTTATAATTAATTCTTATATATATTGTTAATAAAAAATAGGTTAATAAAAAATAAATTAAATTTTAAAATCATATTTAAAATAATTAATAAATTTTAATAAGTATTACATTAATTATAAAAAAATTATAAACAAAAAAATAAAATATATAAAACTTAAATTTTATATTAAAAATTATTATTTATAATCTAGTTTGAATAATAGGGATAAAAAATCATTACTCAAACTATATATTAATCTTACTACTTGAATCTTATTTATTCGGATTGAGAGTATTAATATGCAGTACCTAATTATAAGGTATCAATCGCCATCCTTGGATTTACCATATTGGAGTCAAAAAGGGAGGATTGAACCACCCCTTGGTAAAATGCATAGATCGGATAAGAATGGCTTTGTTTTTTCTTTTGATTGTCACTAAATGTACTTTCAGTTGACAAGATCAGAAGTCTCAGAGATTTCGCTTAACTATTTATGTAATTTCCAGTGTTAAACAGCAGAGAGCTTCTGTAATTTACAATGGGAACAACCAAAGATAAAAAGTAATAGATTAGCTGTCAAGGCATTGAGATTTGGAGACATACACTACCAAAGCAAGGCAGGAAAATTGACTTTGCGACATTATTAACCACAGCAAACATCAAGATTTCAAGATGCATCATGCACAAACACATGTTGCAACAATCATGGACTCTCTTCACTGCAGCAACAGTAGAATCCAGATTCCACGGACTAGAAAATCTGGAGCCTTTTTTCTCTGAGATATTGCTTCCTATCAAAGAGTAGCCACGCCCCTTTGGGGAGCCCGAATGGGGCCCTGGAAACCGTGTAACCAGGCCATTGATCAATTAAAATACAGAAACAAATGGCTAAAGCAAATAATCCAGTGCAATTCACAGATTGGCAGGAGCAGTACGTGCACCTGTATTGCACTCTTGATATCTATGCTTAGCCTAGAGAAAAGTAACTTGTTTATCAATACGCATGATGTCGAGGCCCAAAAAGGATCAGGGGTGTCGGATCCGAACCGACTGTGTTTTTGCTTTTGGTAAATGAAAGAAAGAGAATTGCAAGACTGATGAAGTAGATGAGACAAGACAATTGCTGAAGCTATTCAGAACCATGAACAAAAAGAAGCCCTAAAAGGAAAAGATAAGGAATGCAGGGAAAAAAGAGAGGATCAGATACTTCCATTTATGACTTACATTCATTTCTTCCCAAAGCAGAATCACAAAAAACAAAAGCAAAAGCAACTCAATTTTGCACCAGTGAATCAGAAATTTACTTCAGGGTAAATGACCAGTTCGATTTCTGTCTGAAGAGTTCAAGCTATGACAAGAGGGAGGTCTCCAAACTCTGGCTCTTAATTGCCTTGAATTCATTTCATTCCCTCACAGGAAAGTAACCCAGGAGAAAACATTGAACGCTAATCTCTATGCTGTCTGGATTCTAGATTACCAAATCTTGGTGAAGTATCGAATACCAAATCTTCCATTTTCCATTCCCACTTTCCATATAGCCTCAGAAGGCCAAAGGGTAAAAACAAAAATTCAGCAAGAAAGGGAAACAAAAATCAAGAAATCAAGCTAGAAATGTCAAACCAAACTGCTTGCATCTGGCAAACCTTGTTGGAGATCACTATCTCTAGATCTAGCTGAACCCGACACCGTACCATGGTTGTTAGGCCTTCTTACGGCAACAGAAGCCCGGCAAATCGGACAATTGTTATGATTGTTAAGCCACATATCAATGCAAGTAGCATGAAACGAGTGCTTGCATCCACTCAACTGCCTTACCTCTTCCCCATCAGCAAAAACTGATAAACAAACAGGACACTCATTCCCAATATCTTTAGAATGAGTCTCTTTTTGGTACTTAACAGCTGAAACAGGCTCCCTCCTCCTCTCAATTACTTCAACGCCACTTCCACGGCTGTCCCTGGGAAGCTCCCTAGGGCTGTCGGGACGTTCCCTGGAAGTCCAAGGAGGGCACTTGACAGCAAAAAAGAAAGCATAGATTATAGCGGGGATCGTTATGACCGCCATAAGGGCAAGTATGAATTCAAGTGGGGATAAATCGACGCTTCTTGGTGAGTCGGGGAAAGGTGGAGGTGGATTGGTGGTCACTATAGTAACGGCTCCGTCTTGACCTATAGGGTATATCTGGGGTGCTGAAGAGAAAGGTAACGGTGGAGGTGACCTGACACTAGTACTGTTAGTGGTGTTATCAAACTGGGAAACTGGTGGTGATGCAAAGAAGGACGGCGGTGGTTGAGGTGGTGCTGGTGGCCTGATAACGGTAGGTGAGTTCTCCATTGATAAGGAGAAAAAACACAAAAGAAAAAGAACACGATGGCAAAAGACTAAAATCAGTGCCTTTCCAATTTTTATTCCTGCAGGTAAGGAAGTGATGGTGCGGTGGCCGGTAGCGTTGATGTATTTTTCTGGAGTTTTCAATAGCAATAATTGAAGGGAAAATGTGGGGTTGTGGGACAAAATTCACGTAACATCATGAAAGCAACGCATGTTACTGGTTTATGAACTTTGTTTTAAGCCAAAAAATACATTAAAGTAGTTTTTCTTTTGACCCATTTGGTCCTTGTTTTATGCTTTGGACTGAACCAAAGTCAATACCTAATCTAGTCTACTACTGGGAAAAAGAGGCCCATATTAAATGTAACCAGACCCACTAGAATTCATGATCTCGATTGTAGTGGGCTAATCAGACCCAGTTGAAAGCAGGCTTTGAAACCTGGAAAGCTACTAATATACATTTTCATCCTCAGCCTCGACAGGACCAGAGGATTGTCAGGTTTTCTATTAAGATATATTTACATAGAACATGCGATAATATTTTAATTCGACTTGATCTTATCGACCAGTTTGTGCTAATGTTGTTAAGGGACTTAAATTCAAATTTGAATGAACCTTATCTTACTATGATGAATGTTGGACTTTTGGGCATAAGAAACTGTTCTTAAGCTTCCTTCGTTTGAAGTGTTTGACGTTTGAAACATGATTATCCAAGAGAATGAACGTGTAGAGGGAAGATAAGGGTGGGTTGAGGGCAGGGACCAAAAGTCATAGAAAAGAATGATGCTATTTACATCTCTTTTTGAAATTAACGAAATGTATACATGTAATTTGTTTCTCATTCGCTAGGCATTTTTTTTCTGACGCTTTGAGTCAGTTCCAAGCAAAATAAACAATCATTAATGAAGGGTAGCTAAGCTAGCTAGCTAGCTAGCTGGCTTCACAGTAAAGCCACCATCCCTCTCATCATTTGAAAGTTACACCCCAAAATCCGGCAACCGGTTAAGCTCCAGAGGTTGTGGTCTGCCAGAATCCGGCACAGGCACGGCCACTTGCTCCGGAGATGAAGTATCGGCACGACAGAGCGGGCAATTGGAGTGCAAATTTAGCCACGCATCGATGCATGCCACATGAAAAAAGTGCAAGCAGTCTGGCAATACCCGAATTTGCTCCCCTTCCTTGAAATCACTCAAGCAAACGGCACAAGTTTCCTCATTGCAATCCTTGCTGTATCTAAATATTGGAATTAACCTCGGCGTGGAAGGGCTTCTGATTCTGTCACTAGCCCTTTCCTGCTGATTATGTTGAACATTTTGGCTTGTATTGGCTGTGACTACCACCTGCCTGCGACAGCACTTACAAACGAAGGAAACTAAATGATAAGTAGCAACCATGATCGCTCCGGCAATGACCCCAAGAAGGCCGACGAGAATTGGGTTCAATCGGAACCCTTGTTTACCTTCATCATCCATCGTACGAGTTGGGCACGGTTGCACTACTGGTAAGAAAGTTTGGTGGACGAGTTATTATTGGCATTGATTGCTAGGCGACTTGATGCCATGTCTTTTATATACGTATATTGGAAAAATGTATGCTAACAAATCAAAGGCTTCACTTTCACTATCATCCTAAGACGTGGGTGGCACGGACATGGAAATGTATACGGTGGTAGGGGACGAAACCACCATTTTTAGGTTCAGGATTTGGTACCAAAACGCCGTGTGATCTTAGCCTTCCGCAGGTCAAATCAATGACCTTCAAAAAATGTGTTACTTGATTGGAATATTGTTTCAGTTGTATTGGCAAGAAAACAGAATCAAAATTAGTAAGAAGAAAGCGAAAGAAACATTATCTTAATGACTTAATCCTTTTGAGCTAAAGGCATTCCAATAAAATTATACAAACCCTTTTCCTATAGACAAAGAAAACCTCGAAAATCAAAAGCAAAAAGTTGGTAGTTTTGCTTGATGCAAGGAGAAACAGTTGCAGCAGCCGCTTGTTTTGAAAACCTTTTGTCCAAGATACTTGTAAATATCTTGACTCCACAAAAGGTATAAAGAGAACAAGTTGATCAGTCATGAGAAGAGATATGGAAAAATGGGCACTTGGTTGATCCAAAGGACAAGTGGTAGTTAATCGAGAGAGTCGGTGACTTGCTGATGTCGATAAGAAGACTGATAACAATTGCTCAGCAGCTAGCCTGCATTATTGCACATGGGACTAGAATATAACTATATAAGCCATGGCCCATATCATTTTTCTTATGCAAATTCCTTATGAATAATTACCCCAAGTTTAGCTACTAAATAAAGCCAGAAAATCAAGATGCTAGGCTGCTGCCTGTTTAACTAAACAATGCAATTTTCTCCTTCCATACTTTCATTGGTCAAAATCTGCTTAGCTGATACTGGGCATTTGCCTCATTGCAGTAAGCTTCTAATTGCTGCTAGTTCCAACAGAATGTAAATGAATTTTCTGAGTGAAATAGCATTGGCCTGTTAAAGGGGTAGTTGTTAAGGGAAGTTGATGTGCTGCTGATGCTTTCTTACATAGCAAAGTTCATTAATTTTGATTACTTAATGCCAACAAAAGCAGCACCTCGATTTGTCACAATATAGACATGTGAATCTCCTTGCAGCACTTTAAACTTAATAAATATTGAAGCAATAGGCTAAAAGAAGCCAAGATGAAGAGAGATAGAAGACATACAATGGTCAAAATTCACCCCCCCCCCCCCCCAACAAAAAAAAAAAACTGCTCCACTAGACATTTCTTAATTCCCAAAATTCTACTCCATTGCTGGCTGCTAGATGCATCAAATCACAACAAGGCAGATTGCAATAAACCCGTTTGCTCTGGGGAAAAAGGGAAAGAAAAAGAAAAAGAAATGCAAATTTACATCCGGGTGCTTTGAAAGATTTGATTCCCACCAGCTGATTTGATATTGACTATGATGTTGCTATTCATATGTTAAAAGAGTTGAAAAAGTAGACACTTTTTAAGCTTAGTGAGACGAGTAGGATCCCAAATCTGACCAATCTCCTTCATGATCTCTATAATAAGTTGTTTCAATTATTGAGTTTTAAATAGTAAAAATTGTTTCTTTCAGATTTTTAAACATTATCTCACATATAAAATTTTCCTTTTGCATGTTGCAACATGGTTTCTTTACTTAATTATGCATTCTCTAAGTGACAAATAAGGCATCCCCAGTTAACCCTGTTTAGCTTTCATAGTGCTTTAAGTATTCCACCACTTTAGATATTTTAAGTATTTAATTTATTGATTGGTGTATGATTTTTGTTTAAAGAATAAAGTTCAAATTCATAATTTTTTTTCCTTGACTTGTATTGAGTTTTCTTTCTCAAGTAAAGATGTTATTATGTTGATTAGGACCCAAGGTTTCATATAACAATAATGAAAGTAATTCCTTACAAAATCAATTAAGTTGATTAAAAGCATATATAAATATGCTCTTTATATTCCTAAAATATAGAAATAAGTCACCATCTTCATAAATTATCCATTTGAAAAACTATGTATTGGATACAAGTTGCCTTTCCAACCCATGAAGAAAGGCAACAGCATATGCCATATGGTATCCCATTTGCATTTTGGACTCATGTACAAATGGTAACTAGATCCCATTTATTTCTTTTTTCCAAAGGTACATCATGTCTGTCAACCAGTCCATATCCAAGGAAGGTTGCATCCAATTTCTCGTATAAATTAATTAACTTCACACTTAAAAAAAATTGAATTATAATCATATTTAAAAACAGATTCAAGATTTTACATAAAAAATTATTAAAAAAAATTTCTGATCATGTTAGACTTTGTCTCTCTATATCTTTAAAAAGACATTTCAACAATTAAAAATTCAAAAAAAAACTTAACTTTTATGTATATAATTAGATGTCCATATACACAAAAATATAACAAATCATGCGTGTTATAATTATTTAATCAAATGATATTTAATACCAATTGGCCAAAGACAAAGCATGCACGTGTGAAAACAGGTCATATCCCTTGCAGCCATTGCATAATAAGAATATATATATATACATATCTCACCAGGATTAGACGGCCTTAGACTTTTACTACCCCATGTAGTGATGTTGCAGAAGTCAAATTATCAAAGTACCTTTCAGACATTTTGGCCAAGGCATGGCTCTCCATAAATACATATATATTAACATATTATAAGTAATTAAGTGAGCAACAGGACCCAAGGGCACGGCCCCACTTTTCATTTTTCCTCGTACGTATCTGAAAGTGGAAACTACCGAGGTGATTTTCACAAAAAGACAAGACACAGGCTCTGAGCAAAGCTGAGGCCCTTCTCTCGGGTGATATGTGAGCCAATTTCTTGGGCCATTTTTATTAATTTATAATGATGAAAGTAAGTGACCTTAAATCTGTACTTTGTGATGTAAACAAACCCAATTTTCCTTTTTCTTCTTAGATATGAAGATTAGGGTCACCCCCCCTCTTATCAATCATCAAACATTTGTCAAAACCATATTTTTGTTCCTCTTGTCAATGCTTAAGGTCATCCCATTGTCTTTAAAAGTGTGTAGCCTAATTAGAAATCCACTCCATCTGTCAAACTCTTTGTTTGTTGTTTATGAAGAAAATAGAGATTTGTGGTTCTCCTTATATAACCCAAAAAGGGGAAAAAAAACCAAATCTATCCATATTTGATACTGTTTGATTATGGGTCAATGAAGATTAAAATCTTTCATACATGTATTGTAACCTATGGAAAGATCTTTGTCTTGAATCATTTTGCAATAGTTCATGTTGTGTCACAAAGTTATGAACATATTCATACAAAAAACTGCTGCTACAATGGCTGAAAATTTTGTGAAATGATAGAAATTCAAGGAAAAAAAATTCCACAAATCAAGGAAAGACAATGTGGTAAGCGTGGGAAAATTTTGTTTTATAAATGAGTGCGTTATGAATTGAACATTAATAAAAAATTATATGAGTATTTCTTTTATTTTTAAATTGAAATTATCAATTTTTTTAATTAAAAGAAAAAAGATTCAAATATTATTTTTTACGTAAAAGATTATATATCAATTAATAAATTAAATATTTAAATATAAATTAAAATTATCAAATCGTGACAAATGTTTTAATTATTAAAATAATAATTAAATAGTATAAATGCATTGTATGATTTTTTTATAATATTTTAAAGTTAGGAGAAGATTCAAATCTTTTTGTTACATGAGCCCAAACAAGAAGTTCTCAAAATCAAGTGCACATTCACAAATCACAACACTATAAAAGCAACCCCACTTTTCAGTAGAGGGAGATTTTTAGGGTTTAGGCAAATATTGGTGAGGCCCCTTTATGAAAGGACTGATAGGCACACCCACCATCAAAAGAGTGGAAGAGTAGGAGAGTGGAGACACTTTCTTCTTTAGGGCTTAGGCATGAAAGGGAGGTTCCAATCACCATATCAACCCATGGAAAATTGTCAAAATAATCAAGGATGAGTGAAGAAAACAACAAAAGCAAAGGATTTGTGAAGATATTCATTGAATAGTTATTGTTATTCCTCAAGATGTTAATTGCTTTTCTACTTCTTTTACATTTTCTTGACAAATTGTACTTCTTTACCCCCATGGGGGAAAATTTCTAAATTCCAAAAAAAAAATCAAAACATTTAAATAGATTGGTGGCAAAATATGTATCAATATCAACTATTTGTTATAGAATGTGATACAAATTAATATTAAAAAAACCATAATATTAAATTTCATCCCTAATGGAAGCAACCCAAAAGACCCATCTTTGATATTAGTCTACAAATTAGACTTCCATCACTTTTTCCATTGGTTTAAATTAAAAAAAAACAAAACAAATTTTACCAAAAATCAAACAATGGGCATCCTGCGAAATATATTATTTTCATATAGAAGGTTCACTTTTAATATCAATAGATTTTAAGTGAATTAAGATCAAAACCTTAGAATTTGGATTATTTTTTATTTTTTTAAAACCTAAAAAATTAATAAGAAAATCAAATAGTGTGATAATGATAGGATTTATTAATTTAGTGAAATCATTTTGAATATTGATAAATACGAGATGAATTTATTATTATTATTAAAAAAATTGTCCCAAAACCATTGAAAAAAGAAAATTTTTATGTTCCATGCTAGTAAAGCTAGATTTTTTTTAATTAATTTATCTACTTATTTATTCAAATAGAAAGTAGAAAGGGAAAAAATAAAAGAAATAAAAGAAAAAGTAAAAATCGAAAAGATAAGTAAAATCTGGTTGGAGGAGACTGTGGAGTATTGACCTCCCATAAATGACACGAGCAAAAGTGCACCGTTACCGTTAAGTAACGGCGAGTTCAATCGGTGGTATCCAGTGGAGGCTTTTACTAACGAAACCTCCCTATATTGAGACGGTGCCTTACGTTTCTGTTTCCTTCTTCTCATTCACTTTCTTCTTTCTCTTTCTATTTTTTTTTTCTTGCTTTTCTGATTGCCCTGTTCGGCTGTTCCTCTTTTCTCTTCTCTGTTTCTTTTTTGACGGCAAAACAAAGGAAGAAAACGAAGTAGTGTTAAGCGTACAATAGAGGGAAGACAAGAAATAAAAAGAGAGATAGAGAGAAAGAAAGGGAAAAAAATGGTGGGTAAGGTTGTGGATGATGATGATTTGGTGGAGATGAGCATCATAATCGCTCATGGAGGTCCCTCTTCATCTCGATTCCTCGATGCTTATCCCAAAAGGTACTCTTTGAAGATCCCTTCATTTCTCTTCTAGAAAAAATTTCCTCCTTTCTTAGTTTTTCTTATCTTTTCAAAGTT